ACAGCAAAACACTCATACATCTAAAATATAAATAATAAATAAATAAATAAATCCTATGGTGACCTGGGTACAGTCATAACGCAGTTTGGATGATTCATCACACATGCAAGGAATCAATCCTCAAACCTGAACCTCACAGCGCCCACATTTTTAAGATGAGGAAATAGAGATTGACTGTGCCACTTCCCTAAGTACGTTCTATAAAATAGGGAAATGAAATGACTCCAGGCACAGATTTTTCTAGGCTCCATCTCCCCCTGAGGGCACAGCATTCAAATCCTGAGAGATATAAGCCAACTAGTTACTTGGCCCAAGTTGATGAGGCCAATGCTAAATAGGGCCCAGTGATCAAGGAATGGCGTGATGATTAATCTCAATTGTCAACTTGATGAGACCTAGAATCACTTAGGAAAAGAGCCTCTGTGAGGGACTGTCTAGATCAGACTGGCCTGTGGGCATGCCTGTGACAGATTTTCTTGACTGGATTAATTGAGGTGGGAGGACCCACTCTAAATGTGGGTGGCAGCATTTCACTAGCTGGGTCCTGGTCTAAATAAAAAGGAGAGAGGTGCTTGGTCACAGGCATTCACTGCTGGCTGTTTCTTGACTCAAGCTCCTGCTGCCGTAACTTTTCCACCATAATGGACTGTCATCTCAAACTATGAACCAAAATAAACCCTTCCTTAAGTTGTCTTTATCGGGGCATTTTACCATAGCAACAGAAAAGTAACTAAGACAGGGACCATCTTGGTGGAGGTGACGGTGACATCGCGGAGGTCCCAGCACAACCAGGGAGCCTGTGAGGACTCCCTTGATGCAAAAGGAGGCTTGAGTTGGGCTTAAGCAGGGAAAGAGAGCATTTCCAACATGCTGGCTGTGCTTCTAGAGCAGTGTGTAACTCTGTCCCAGTCCTAAGGCACAGTATGTATTGCTTGCTAACCTATCTCCAGGCAGGGATCAATAGAAGAATGGAGCCAAAGCAGGTTGGAATCAAGACAGCAGCACCCCTCCCCAGAACATCAGTGTCCCCCTCCCTAAATCCGAAGCCACAGGGTAAAGAAGTCACACTGTTTCCTCTGTCAAAATCTTCTGTCACTCCTAACTCTCCATTCCCATCAATGCCCCAGGTCATCAAATAGGGTATCTGCAGCCTTTCACCATGACAGTTAGAAGAGACAATTCCACTCAGAATATGCACAGAGCCACCTGAATGGTGGCCTGAGTTTCCATCTCCCATCTGAGCAGAGGAAGCTTTTTCCTCTCTCAAACCAATCCCTCTGTTGCCTCCAAGGTAAAGTGGGATGCCGTAGCCCAATGTTCAGGATGGCTTCCACAGCTTGTCACATCCTAAGGGTGTCTCTGGCCCTCTGCACCTCCTGGACTTGTTACTGTGACCCAGGCCACCCTTGAATGGTGGCCTGAGTTTCCATCTCCCATCTGAGCAGAGGAAGCTTTTTCCTCTCTCAAACCAATCCCTCTGTTGCCTCCAAGGTAAAGTGGGATGCCGTAGCCCAATGTTCAGGATGGCTTCCACAGCTTGTCACATCCTAAGGGTGTCTCTGGCCCTCTGCACCACCTGGACTTGTTACTGTGACCCAGGCTATCCTTACACCCCCAACACACACACACACACACACCCCTCTCATATCTCTTTCCCTCAGCATCCTCTAGCCAAAGCTCCAGTTCACTTTGCCCTTCCCTGCTGCACAAGACTCCACCCTACCTCCCCCCATCCCAATGAACCAAGCAGAGACTCCCCCGTCAGATTCAAGACCCTAAACTGCAGCCTCTTCCTCTCACCCAGACTTATAACCCTGTGCTTCCCAACATTTGGTCCCCAGTAAAAGAGCAGCAACGGCAATTGGGAAATTATTAGAAATGAGATTCTTGGCCCTCTGTCCAGAGCTACTGAGTCACAACTTTGGGAATGGAACCCAGCAATGGCTCTACAGCCAATGGTTCTACAACCCCTCCGGGTGACCCAGATGTATGCTGAAGTTAGAAATCAGTGCTCCAGGCTTGCCTATCTCCCCTCCTGGTTCCTCATAATGAGCACTCATTCCTCTGGCCTCTTCAGCCTCTTTTAACCCATTGCATGGAAAACCTCCCCTGTCCTCTCCACCTCATCCAAGACCCCTCACCCAAGGCTCTTCAAATGTCATTTATGCAAATATCTTCCTTTTTAATATTTTTTTATTTTATGTGTATGTATGCATTGCCTGCATGTAGGTAAGTGCATCCGTGTGGTGCAACGCCTGCGGAAGACAGAAGAAGCTGTGGGATCCCCTGGAACTGGAGTTATGGACAGTTGTTAGCTGCCATGTGGGTGCTGGGATTCGAACCTGGGTCTTCTGCAAGAATAACTAGTGCTCTTAACCACTGAGCCATCTCTCCAGCCCCCATCAAATATCTGTCTCTAACACAGCACAGCACTGTGCTTCACAGATCTTGCCTCCAGTCAGCGTTGACAAAGATCCACTGAAAGAGGAACAAGACACAGTCCTTGCCCTTGTGGGGCTCCTAGAGGAGTGGGAAGATGGTAGAATGTTGATGTTGCATCAGCAGAGGCAGGTCTGGTGGAAAGATAGCCCCAGAGAGAAGCTCAGAGGCAGGGGAAAGCGAGGTTAGTTGGTACACACCTATGATTCCAACACTCAGAGGCTACGGCAGGAGGATCCCAATTCAACACCAGCTTGGGCCACTTAGAAGTAGGGGAAGCTCACAGCCATGGCCATGCCAGACAGAGTTTAATGCACACTGGACCCAGAGAGTAACACATGGATCCACAGTATGACTGATGAAAAAATGACCCTGAGAGCCCTTCAGCCTACACAACTGTTGCCAGACTGTCTCCTTGACCAACCTTGTCTTCTCTAGACTAGACCCTGAACTTGAGCTGTGTCCTTTGCTTTACCCTCTTAGTTTAATGTGAATGGGGTCAGTTTAGCAAAAAAAAAAAAAAAAGGATGAGATCAGCGCTAGAGAGGGGGCTCGGGGGTTAAGAGCACTGGCTGCTCTTGCAGAGGACCTGGGTTCGAGTCCCAGCACCCACATGGTAGTTAACAAACATCCATAGCTCCAGTTCCAGGGGATCCAATGTCCTCTTCTTATCTCTGTGGGTATTGCATGACACGAGTGCACTTATATACATGCAAGCAATACACTCAGACACATAAAATAAAAATAATAAATAAAAAAATTCTAATAGGTGAGATGGCTCAACAGGTAAAAAGTACATGCTGGGCAAGCCTGAGGACCTGAACTCAATCCCTGGAACCCGTGGAAAAAGCTGGAAGCCATAGCACACATCTGTAATCCCAGCATACCTAAAGGGAGATGGGAGGCAAAGACAGGAAAAGGTCTAGAAGCTTCCAGGTCCACTAGACAGAAGTACGCAGCATGGCAGCAGAAACAGTGAATGAGACCCCAGTGCAACAAAATTGTAGGCGAGAACCAACTCCTGCAAAACTGTCCTCTGATTTCCACATGTGTATCATGGCACATGCATGCCTGCGCACGCACACACGCACACACACACACACACACACACAATAATAATAATAATAAATAAATAAAAATAAATGTAAATTTAGCCAAAACCCTTACCTTTGATACATGATTTAATTCCTCATCCCCCAATCTCAATGTCTAATCACCCTGCCTTGCCTTTACCAAGAATCTCGTCAAGTTGGTTTAACCAGAATCCCCCTGTTCTAGTTTGTTTCTTCATTGCTGTGACAAAATACTCTGACCAATACCAACTTGGGGAGGAAATGGTTTATTCAGCTTACATTTCCCAGGTCACAGTTCATCAGGGAGCCCAAGGTAGGAACTCAGGGCAGGAACCTGGAAGCAGGAGCTGGAGCACAGGCCATGGAGGAATGCTGCTTACTGGCTTGCTCTCCTGGCCCCTGCTCAACCTGCTTTCATATGCAACATAGGCCCACCTGCCCAGGGGTGGCAGCACCCACAGTGGGCTGGGCCCTCTCATATCACTCAACATCTAGAAGATGCCCCATGGACATGGCCACAGGCCAGTCCAATGAAGGCAGTTCCCCAATTGAGGCTCCCTCAACCCAAGTGTGTCAAGTTGACACTAAAGCTGTCCAGCACACCCCCTTACCCTGACATTTCCTCTTGTAGTTTTCCATCACTGGTCCTGCCCTGTTCCTTGATTCTAAGTACCTACTTTTCATTATGGCATATGGAGCCCAACTCTCTCCCCTACCACAAAACACCACTGCAGTGGTCCCTATTGAATGCAAGATTGTCCTTACAGCTTTAAAAATGCCATGAAATTTTTCCTTAATATGTTTCTGCCTGTTGTCATCTCAGCTCCCCAAGGCAGAGGACATCACCTTTACTAGATATCATAGCATCCCTCCCTCACACATCTCAGATAATTAATTCTTAGAGTTGGGAGATTGTCAGACCCCAGTTCTCCATCACTGCCTCCAGCTTGGAAAGTGCCCTCTCGCATGGAGGAAGTGTCTTTCAGCTTGAATGGCCCAAGGCTGAAGACTAGCTCCTCCCTGGAAGAATGAAACAGCCTCCCTGGACTTGGTTCTTCATTTGTAAACAAGGGTGATCATACCTACATCCCAGAGCTGCTGTGGGGAGACAACACGGGTAGAGTACCAGCACTTTTCTGATAACACCAGAGATAGTCAACCTAAGCTAGATATTCTGAATTCTACAGACCACCAAGAAAACAATCCTTGAAAGCTTTACATGTTCCAAAACTCTTCTATACCATCCTTTTGCTCTGTGCTTTTGAGTTCTGGCATGTTGCCTGGACCCAGGGCAATGAACACAGCCACTGGAGCAGCACAGACAATCCTTACATTGGACTTCCAAGGCAAGGTGTCATGGGAAGGCCATTGCCCTTCACGTTCTCATGCCCTTCGATCTCTGAGCTCAAGTGTGTCATGAGAATTGGAATCCTTCCTGAGCACAGCTGCCCCTCTGCTGAAATCCTGCCCACAGTGCCCAGGACTCACCGAGAATAGAGAAGGAATGCTTCTGGCAGTCCCCAGCCAAGAGATAACTGCAGTCTCCTGCAAAACTGTACATGGTCTCATCAAAGGTATTGATGAAGTCGTCCCCAAAGAGGCTGCATCGGGCCATTGACGGCCTGTCACCAGTCTTTTCTCTGCAGAGGGTCCCTGAAGGGAGAGGTCATGGGTGAGTGCCATGGGACCACCAGCCTGAAGTTCTCCAGTCTCATAGAAATGAGGTCGTAGATGATAGAAAGTGGGCATTGGGGAAGGAGCTTCCATCTTAGATGAGTCCCCTTCGCTCTGAATAAGAGCCCAGATTCTTGGCAACACTGGATCTATTTCAGTGACACTTACTGACTTAGGACATAATAATTCCTCAGTGTTCATGTTACATTTGATGTATGCAGCATAGTCTACTGCTAGGTTCTTCACATTTGCTCAAATTTTTTGTTATTATTATTTTTTTTTTTGGTCTTTTTGAGACAGGGTCTTCTTGTAGCCCCAGCTGTCCTGGAACTCACTATGTAGACCAGGCTGGCCTTGAACTCACAGAGCTCCGCCTACCTCTGCCTCCCAAGTGCTGGGACAACAGGTGTGCACCACCATGCCCGGCCTTCAAATTTTTTATTATTATAAATAGATTGCAATGAGAATCATTGTATAGAAACTTGCTGGCATTTCTTGAGCAGATTAAAATTTAGATATATCAGACTGTGTGTCTGTCAAGTGTTTTCATGAAGTGCTAACTCCTCTCCTTCATGTAAACACACTCTAATGAATTTTTTTTGCTGGCATTTCTTGAGCAGATTAAAATTTAGATATATCAGACTGTGTGTCTAAGTGTTTTCATGAAGTGCTAACTCCTCTCCTTCATGTAAACACACTCTAACGAATTTTTTGTGTGTGTGTGTCTTTTTGAGACAGAGTCTCCCTATAGTCCCAGCTGGCCTGGAACTCACTATGTAGACCAGGCTGGCCTCAAACTCACAAAGGTCTGCCTGCCTCTGCCTCCCAAGCACTGGGATTAAAGGTATGTGCCACCATGCCTGGCTCTTTTTTTTTTTTGTCTTTGAAACAGCGTCTCCCTTGTAGCCCCTGATGGTCTGGAACTCGCTATGTAGACCAGGCTGGCCTCAAACTCACAAAGGTCTGCCTGCCTCTGCCTCCCAAGTGCTAGGACTAAAGGCATGCACCACCACGCCCGGCCATTCTGGGTCCTTTGGCGTGTGACACACCCAATAGGAGTATGTAAACCGTTCTCCCAGGATAAACTGTATAGATACTGCACACTTGATAGGCCTAATGGAGACAATCCAGGATCAAAGGGCACTACTGACATCCTCAAACTCAGAATCTTAGTGAAGGAAGAAAGGCAGAAAATAATACTGCAGTGTAGTGGGAACCCAGGAGAACCGTCCTCTGACTTTGGCTCTGTGTGACTTCAGAGCAGTGATATCTCTTCTCTGACCAACAATCTGTTCATCTGTGCTGTGTGGGCTTCAACTATATGAAAACAAATACTGTCTCCAAGTCTGAATTCCTTCTTTCCTATTCTGTGCTCCTACCACACAGGGCAATTCTGTACCACCATGTCCCTTCAGACATTCAGTTTGGGGGGAATGTAAGTCAGAAGGAAGGTGATTGGTGATCTGCTGAACTTTCACAGGAAGCACCCACTGACTCACAGTTGGGCACACAGGGGAGCTCCAGACACACCCGCTGACCCCTGGAAGGAGATTCACCAAGTAGGCCTGAAGTAGGAAGCATTTTGGTACCTACCTGGCCAGGTGAGGGCCAGAGCAAGCAGCCCAATCAAAAATCCAACAGGATGCATCTGCAGAGAAGCAAAAGAGATTAGCTGGTTGTCACTGCTGGGGTACACAACTGTCAATGCACACCGGGGTGGGGTGTCATTTTCTTGAAGCAAATGGATCATCACTGAATTTTTTTTAATATTTTATTTATAGCCGGGTGTGGTGGCACACGCCTTTAATCCCAGCACTTTGGAGGCAGAGGCAGGTGTATCTCTGTGAGTTCGAGGCCAGCCTGGTCTACATAGTGAGTTCCAGGACAGGTGGGGCTACAGGAAAAAATATATACATATATTTTATTTATTATTATTATTATTTTATGTGTATGTGTGTTTTGCTGCACATATGTAAGTGCACCCGTGTCATGCAATACCTGAAGTGGTCAGAGGAGTGTATTGGATCCCCTGGAACTGGAGTTACAGATGGTTATTAGCCACCAGTGCACTTAACCACTGAGCCATCTCTCCAGCCCCCTACTTTTGGGGAATTTTTTAATGTGTATGAGTTTGTTTTGCCTGCATGTATGTAAGTGCACCACATGCGTGCAATGCCCAAAGAGGCCAGAAGAAGGTGTTGATGCTCTGGAACTAGAGTTACAGACAGTTGTTAGCCACCATGTGGATGCCAGGAACTGAACCCAGGTCCTCTGTAAGAGCATCCAGTGCTCTTAACTGCTGAGCCACCTCTCAAGCCCACCCATTCCTCCTTTGCACATGAGGAAATGATCCCCCAAACACCCCCTGTTCAATGCTAAACCTAAAGTAGGAATCCTGATGAGCCACACTCTATACTGCTGGGCACTTTCTCCAGACAATAGCCCCAAGAACAAGCCAGAGCGTGGGGCTCCACCTCTCTTCTCCAGTGCTTCGAGCTAGCCTGGCATCTCATGTCCCCACACCCTTGCAGCAGCTGCAGCAGAGGTGCCCCTTGGGCTGCCATGGCTGGAAACCAACTATGGGACAAAGGAGCTGGCTTATGCTTTTGTTTTTGCCATAGGAATCCAGACTTGGAGAAGACAGAAGCCACCAGTGACTGCTTATTGGTCACCCGCCCTTGGCCATGAGACCCTTTAGAACAGGGACTCTCTCTCCCCCAACAAACCCAGTACCTGACAAGACACTCAGCACCTATGACATGCTCAGTAAATGTTTGCTGAGTGGACTTGACAAAGGGACAGGGGTCCAACAGCCCTGGGCCTAAGGTACTTTCACCTCAGTGTGCCTCCTCACCGCACAGCCCACCAGAGAAAACAGTCAATCCCGGCTGGCAGAACACACTTCAAGACCTTCAGAGCTGCTGCCACAGCCCCTCTTCTCCGGAAAGGGTCCAGGAAGTAGAGAAGGTACCACCTGAGGCTTGCTAGAAGTGACTCTTCCTGCCTACTGTCCCATCCAGGCAGACAAAGCAGGACAAAGCCAATCTGTTAGGAACCCGTGAACGGAACACTTGGTTCCTGGATTTGGTCTCAACATGGGTATCTCTCTCCTCTGCCCTCCCAGCATACAGGTGCATTGGTGGCTCCCAGCAGGTACCCAAAAGGTAGGTGGGGGCAAAGTTCCCTCCAGTCTCTGCTGAGTGCAGTTCTTTGAAGCAGTAAAACCTACTTCAGAAAGAAAAATGACTGCAGGACCCCAGAAGGGAGAGAAGAAAGAGCATTAAGATCTTGCTTGCTTTGAATCATTGCTCCAAATAAAACCTTTCTAGTCCAGGCATGGGAGCCCCAGTCAGCACCTCAGCCCTGCATCACCCTCCCACAACCGAGCCAACTCTCCTTCCCAAAGCATCATACCTTCCCCTACAAATGGGGGCTGTCTCTCCAATGTCCCTTGGGAAACTCGGCCGATGCTCAGTGGTGCCACCACTCCTAGGCCATCGCTCTCCAGTGACTCCTGAATGGATCTGCTACTGCTCTGAACTGTCTTGCTGTTAAGTTGTCCAGGGGCTGCAAAGTCCTCACAAGCCAGGGAGATAAAGCCCCAGCGGTGACTGTCACCACCCACCCCACTCCTCCCCACCACAATAGCTGTGAGCTGCCACAACAGGGCACTGGCCTTCTCTTAATTACCAACAGGAAACAAGGGCAGGAAACGGTATTAGAAGTACTTCCAGGCTGATAAGGCTTGAACAGCTATGAGGGACACCTCCAGGACACCACCTTAATGAGCTGTATTGTTCCCCAAACATCTCCACAGCTTGGACCTGAGACACCCAGAGGGCCCCCACAGACATCCAAGACCAGGAACACTGGGTTTCCCACGGCATTCTGGTCCAGACCAGGAGAGAGAGCCAAGCTACATCAACATGGCTTCTGGATCCAGGTTCCTGGGCTAAACTCCAGGGAATTTAAAAAAAAAACACCTCAAACTAAGCCAACTTAGCTGCAGAGTGGGAGGATATGCTCCTGCACATTAACACTTCCTGTCCCCCTCAAGGTATAAATGATTTAGCCAGACCTCACAAAAACAGCCTGCCTGGGTCCTAGCCAATGTTTTATGGACAGGTTAAAGATGAAGGTCCTGGTCATGAGTTCAAGCCTTGGAAAGCGGGGAAGTGAGGGTGTGGAAGTGAAGGTTTGATCTCTCTCTCTCTCTCTCCCTCTCTCTCTCTCTCTCTCTCTCTCTCTCTCTCTCTCCTCTCTCTCTCTCTCTCTCTCTCTCTCTCTCTCTCTCATCTATCTATCTCTCCCTCCATCTCATCTCTCTGCCTCTCTGCTGGGGACAGAACCCAAGATCTGTACTACATGCTAGACAAACAATCTACCACTGAGCTACATCCCCAGACATCTACCCCACTTCTGGTACCTTGAGTCCTCCCCTAACTTTACACATATGCACATCAGCATACATATATACACACATATCATCTCCACTACTTCCCAACCTTCCATTCTCAAAGCCCTAATTCTCAACACCTTCTGCCAAACTCATTCCTGTTCATTGCTGATCAACTGGGTAGGCGGGGAGCAGGGCAGGAATCCCCCTCAGTGGGATTCTTGGCACTAAGCTGAGCAGCCAAGACACAGAGCATTTAGGAGTGGGCCACTTCACCGCGTCACACCACCACCTGCCCTTTTACCACTCAGGACAGGAACATGAATATTGCCAAGAAAAAGAGTGGAAAGGGCAAGATTAGGCCTTAAGGGTTTACATTTCTGTTACCAGAATTGTTAGTGTTACAGCCTGGACTCTAGATACCTAGAGAGCTAGCCTCAGCCACCCATCCTCAACAGACTAATTAAAAATACAAGCTGCAATAAAAAGTAAAGGAGATTTATTCAGTGTCAGCACACTGGAAAAAGAAACTCTCTTTGGCATAGTGACATAAAGTTTAAATAGAAGGCAAGAGGTAAATACAGCTGAACTGTTCTGATCAAGTTGTGGTCCTGACCATCACTAAACCAGCATTGATTGTAGCTCTTGTCGCTCCTGCAACGTGGTCTGACAAGTTGTCAGAACTGTGTGAAATCTTTTCTTGGACCACATGTTATTCTTCTGACTGACCCCAGGCCTCAGGCTTTACCTTCCCCAGCATGAGATTCCTGGGAAAATTCCCGGTTCTTGGGGTCCATTGTCTCTATAGTTTGATAGCCAAAGGGAAGGACACACATGACTCTTTAGAATGTCCTTCCTTAGGCTGTCAAAATGGTTATAGCTCCACCTTTAAAAAAAATAATAACCTGAACATTTTCCCTCAAAATGCTGACCTTGGAGGAAAGTAAGAAATGTCTCCAAACTTCAGAAAAGAAGAAATATGCCCATAGTGCACGCCTTTCAGGACAGGACACGTCAGAAACTGGACATTGCAGGAACAGAAATGATGCTTGGTGACTAACCAGGCAAAGGACCAACACTCAGATCCCCACATAAAGTTGAAACTGTTGAAGGGAAAGAGACTTCTTCCAATGAGACCAGGAAAAAAAAATCCATCCCCAACACAGGAGATAAGGAGCCTTATCCATTTCCCTCTGTGTGAGCAGTGTCAATGCAAAAGCACAACTCTCAAAGGGGTAAGAGACAGTTTATTCTGGAGCTAAATATGAGTGACCATGACCCAGGAACACAGATTCAGGTTACCCCAAATTTCATGTTCCAATGTAGAAGCAATTTCATGAAGTATTTTGGCTTTTGATTTTGGGTTTTTTTTGTTGTTGTTTTTTTTAAAAAATTTTTTAA